TATTTCTTTCATTCCGTTTCGTGACAACACATTTCCCTTTTTTTTTTTCATACCGATGCCTTGGCGCAATATCGACGTTACGGTAAACGCGTAAAAGTTATCCGTCTTTTGACCCTACGGATCGCGAGTCAAGGCATCTTTGTTAATGATCGTCATACGGAGTGCGTTCCATATATAATTGAAAGTTCTAACACGGTTTCTTCATTTCGCACTTCCCCATCGATAACTATAAATATTATATAATCTATGTACAATTTCTTTTAAATAACGCCTCTCCTCCGTTAGCAAAATATCAGCACCGTGGGGGGGTGAGGGTGTGGGTATGCGCTAGTGCTCAGACTGCTGACCCTTTGGTGCGTTCGCTCGCAGAAGCCGAGGACGCTGGGAGGATGTATCATCGGGATTGGGACGCATCCTCTTTCTTGTGTATATCTGCGTGCATTAAAGAAGGGTCCAATTGTCGTGTTGGCACTCCTGGTCCTGGTCCCGCTCTGTGATGCATGTGTAAATTGCTAAGGGGGCCAGGACTGGGATCCTTGCTTCTCAGAGCATTCACAGGTGGTGGTGGGTAGCCAGCGTAAAGCTTGGCCCTCTCCTCTTCCTCTGCGCGAAACGCAGCAGCAGCTATCAGGGGATTGTAACGCAGTTGTTGCAAAGGATCGTAGCGATAATCTCTGAATGGATCCCCGGGCCAAGGACCCCCAGGTTGACCTGCAGGCGCCGAAGGTGGTGGGAAATGTTGCATGGGATGTCCACCTAATCCAGGGAGCATACTTCGCGGCATGGAATGCGGCATCCCGTGAGGATGCCTCGCGAGATACGAATGAGGATGGGGGTGATGATACCTGGTATCGGGTAGTGGACTCGGTCCAGGCCCTGTTGCGGATTGACCACCTGGGCCAGGACCCGGTGGTCTTGGAAGCATCACGACTTCGTCGTCTTTGCTTCGGGGTTCCTCTTTGACACGCACCTCGCCACCGTCCATAGTCACCGTTCCATTTCTCAACGGTGATCGTTCTCGACCTACCACCACATGCTGTCGATTTTGATGAAGCAATCTCTCGCGCTCCATTTCGCGTCTCTCCATTTCACGACGTTCTTTATCCCTTCTGTCCCTTTCCCTCTCAGCAGCTTCCTGCTGTTTCCTTTTCTCTTCTTTCTCTCGTTCTCGTCTTTCTCGCTCGCGCTGCTCCTCCCGTTCCCTCTCCTTCTCACGTCTGATACGTTCGCGTTCTCGTTCCCGCTCACGTTCACGCTCGCGTTCCCGTTCTCGTTCCCGTTCGCGTTCTCGTTCACGTTCCTCGAGTTCCGCTCGTCTATCGATAGCAGGCGGTTCTGGTTTCAGGCTCCATGCAACAGTGGTGGGTGGGAACCCAGTGGACGCTCGTTGCAATCTAAAAAATTTGTTTAAAGGGATAAATAATAGTTAGTCCTGGGAGAAAGGTATTGGATGACTGACAAGGAAACGTTGAGAACTTGCCCTCTTCGGAATTGCGTCAAACTTTACACAAGGAGTACTTTTGAATGAAAATGGATTTCTGACTTTGTTTAAGAATACTCCCGTATGTAAAATTTAACACAATTCTGAGGATGACAAATCTTAGCGTTCCCTTGTGAGTAAATTTAAGTAATCGAACCTTTTTGAAATTGAAACGTACCCTCTCCACGGATCGTGTACAGAACCTAGCCCACCCAACGGTGGCATTTCTCTCGATGGTGGAAAACTAGAAAGACCAGGGAAATTCGGATTTGGCGCGCCGTACGTGGATGGGTACCTTCCAAACGGTGACATTCCTGTTCCTGTAATAATTTTAATACGAAATGAAATTATAATCCTTTAAAATTCTTAATATTTTGTCATCGATAAAGTTGATTACAAAACTTGAGATGTCATAGTTTAGTAATAATAAAAAACCTCTCAATGTTTATGAGACCAAAACTTTGATTTTTTGTTGATAACATATCTTTCCTTAATAAAATGATCAAGACTTGTGTAAAGCATCGATTCCGTGAAGATTACCTAAATGTGACGCTGGCGTAGACAGAAAACCAACTGGATGAGGTGGAGGTGGCGCAGGATGTGCCTGCTGCATGTTAGTGGGGAACGGAGGCGCCATCGGAGGTGCACCAATTCCGAGACCACCTGCTGGTCCACCTGGATAAAGATGACCCGGTGGTCTCAGCAGTTCCGTTTTAGTATTAACGACACCTCCCGCCTTAGCTTCCGCCTGCTGCTTTTGTTGATGATGATAAATTTCCCAAGCGATGCGTACGTGCATTGCGTTCCATTTTCCAGTCTTCTGTAATAGACAAAACATAAATTGTAAATAACATATATTTTTTCCAGAACATAGATTATTCAGATGGTAAAGTGTTAATTCTCCTATTGACTTAATAGAAAATGTAAAAGCTTTCCATTTAATCTAATACAGAAATTAAAAATCGATTTACCTTTGGTGCGAACGATGTTAAATGATTCGGTGGTACGAAAGGAGTCGAAGGCGGTCCGATGCCCGGATGCAGAAGGCCGGCATTAAAACCAGAATATCCAGACAGATTTAAATTACCACGAAAAAAAGGAGACTCAACACCTCCCAGTTTTGGAATATCCTTGAACTAAAAAAATAATTATTGGTGTATAAAAGCATGAAGGTTCACTTCTACTGCCTTAAGTTTCACATGTCAATGATGCGTAGGTTACGTACGATGGGAGCTGGAAAGAGGGTGGTCGCTGCAGTCGGTGGAAGTAGAGGCGTCGTGTGTTGATGTACATGAGTGTGCTGATGCTGATGATGGTGCATCTCTGTCCTGAGGTATGGGGGTGGCCCCAGGTTGCCGACTCCGACTCCAACGTTTCGGTCTTGGGATGCCAAGAATCTATTGTCAAGCTCTCGCCTTAGCATGTCGGCCTGACCTGCGACATGAGTCACCCCTACTTTTCGTTAGTCTCTTGTTCCTCGGCGAGTCAATTCCTCTCTCTCTCTCTCTCTATTCCTCGAATTGCAAAAATTGTAACAGTTTGTGAACTTACTTGTTTGGAAAAGTGATTCGGCGGAGAATGGGTTGGGATTGGTCGTTGGCGGTGGTAACGAAGGCAGTGATGTGTGTGGACTCGAACTGGACACAGGAGGTGGTAGTGGTGCTGCAAACATTGGCGGTGGAAACGTGTGCATGCCCAGTGGCACGGGTGGTGGAGTTGGCCTTGGAACTGATGTTGCTGTTGCCGGAGATAATTGCGAAGTTGTGTTGCTACTGCAAATTAAACATATGTAAATTGTCATCTAATGAAATTTCGTTAAGGTGGTCGAGCCTCAAAACCTTAAAATGTAAACAATTTTCCTTGATGGCTACAAAATTATTAATTATTGGAGACTGAATCATATTTAAAATTTTGAAGCTTAACTGCATCCTTAAGTATGAATGTGTTAGAATAATTTCCGTGTTGTTTATACCCAATCCATCCTTGTGGCTTGGAATACGCAGGTAGACTAGAATTGGCTGGAGAAGACGTGTTTGGCACACTTACGGGCGTTATACTACCTCGACTTAGGCTACTCACGTTACTGCTGTAACAAATAATAGTACTATAAGATCATTGTTGCAACAAACGTTGGGATTATGTATGATTACAAACGTGTACCTGTAGCTATCCCTTTCTCGGCTCGGACTGTGTCCACGGGGCGAGTTATTATTCCTTCCAGTTAAACTACAGGCTACCATATCTCTGTGAGCGATGGTGTTCGCTGTGGTAACTGTATTAGTTATCGTGGACACGCATGTCGTAGTGGCGGCGCTTAGCGGAGTATTGTGATTCGTAGTATTATTTCCTACAGGCTGTTTACTTATGTTGGTGCACGGGGAGGCTCTACTTCCTCTCTAAAAACGGAAAATATCGGTTAAACGGAAAACGCGAAAGAACTTTCATTACATGTAATGCAAAGTTGAACAAAAGTCCTTAGCGTTGGTCAGTGTTTCTCAAATGTCATCTTTCCATAGACCCTTTCTATAAAGGAAAACTTTTGGCGTATCTCCTGTCCTAAATAATATTAAACTATTATGTTTTTAGTACATACCCTTAATTCAAATTTATGATTTTAATTGAAGTGAATCAAGTGAATTATATATTTTTAAACGTGCTGAGTGAGACATAACTTTAAGTTTATTGTTAATAAAATATCTTGAAAAAATAAAATTTAGAAAAACATTATGAACTTAAAGAACTTGAGATTAAGATTTATAGTTCATACCACACTATTCAAAGCCAGGAGCACATAATCAGAACATGATCAGTTTATAAAGTGTTCCAATAGACAAATATTCAAACATTCCAATAGTTGAATAATATTTGAATAATCAGGAATTCAAGTAAAGTTTAAAGTCAAATTCATTTACTAAACAAATGACATAAAAAGGCATAAAAAAAATCTTGTATGTCTTACCATGAAGACTTTTTTGTTATTCCACTACACTGTATCATTCTTTGAAGCAAATACTACTGTTTCAAAAAGCAATTGAAAGAATAAGAACCATCGTTAGATGGTACACTTTTTTATTTTGGTGCAATGATGCATGTGCAATATTTAATTAAGCTAGATTTTTCTTTTCGTCATTCTGTATATATAGAAATAATCATGACAAAGTTTGAATTTTAAAAACATAATACTTTGCAAGATATTTCGTACTTGATGTTTACAAGAATGTACACAAGAACCCAATTGTCACATTAAAAATGTTATCATCATATTAGATTACATAGTACATGATTTTTCAACACATTTAACTTGCATCATTCCATCAGGGGTCCACGGACTAGTATTTGAGAAATACTGATTTAGATGAAAAGAATATTACGACTTACCACTTCTGCCCGTGAAGAAGCAGAATGGGAAGGAGATGGTACCGCAGGTGGAAGGTATGGACTGTGATTTAGAGCAGTATACGGCGTATAAAGGGGCGGGTAAGATGGTTGCGTTTGAGGATAAGCAGCCATGGGTATCGACGGTGGATAGCTGGTAGTTGTCGCCCCGTTTGATGGTGCTGCTGGGGTGACACCTAAACTGGCTCCCGCGGGACTAGTTGTATGACTCGACGAAACGAGGGGCACATTAGGTGTATGTAACGCAGGTATCGTAGTGTGAGGCTGCTGGGACAAGGAAGGAGGTGGCAGAGCTGGGGAAGCTGGCCGCTGTTGCGGAGCTATTGCACGTGGATTTGCTGCCAACGGACTAGTCATCTGAAAGTACGTTTAATCAAATGTATGTTGAGTCTGCTGAAGCAAAACGAAAATTTACAAAGACTTTACTTACAGGTGGCTGGGATATGTGAGGGGGTAGAGTAGGACTGGGAGGACTTGGCGCTGTTGGAACTGGTGCTGACGCAGGCACAGGAGGTGGTATAGGTGCCGGAGCATCCGTTGCTGGATTAGAAATTTGTCCACCAGTGTCCGGTGGTGAACCTCCTGCCCCGTTTGCTGGAGGCAATACGTGTGGTGAAGACGATGGCAACTCGTCTAGAATATAAATACCGATGTCAGACATGTGTTCACAGCACAAATAGGAATAACGCTGATATTTCTGAAGCATACATTTACGTGCAAGGGGTGGTGGGGTAGAAGATTCAAAGAGTATCGATTCAGCATCCGAGCCCTGGAATAAAATGTAGTTTTAAGAAAAACTGCTCGTTTGTTTTATTACATCTTAGTTCTACAGTTCGAAATTTACATACCTTATCGTCTTCTCCTTCACTATCACACTATAGTAAGAAACAGAAATAACAAAGAATTATTACTACAGCTTTTCATATTTATAACAAACATTTTAGTTTGTTGAATTCTGACACTTACGATATAACCTTTACCCGAGCTGCAATGACTGCTAGCCTGTAAGAACGATAGAAATTGCACAAAAATAAGAATTTGATCATTTTTTTGTGTTTGTACAGCAATTAATTAACTGATAGTTCTACTTACATCGCTGAGGTGGTCCCTGGAACTGTCTGCGTCCTGGCAATCCCTAGGTATACCAGGGCCATGCAGTTGTTCAGATGCTCTACCACTATCGTCGCTTGTACCTGCATCTAGGCCCTACAAGCAAAGCATAGTTACATAACTTTTCTATTATATGTCACCATAATATTTATATAGGATGTGCTGATGTAGATGGTTTAAACTTTAGATACATTAGATTCTGATTAAAAGAAATTGTAAGTACTCATTGCATTTTTGAGTATGTACAATGTACGATAAGATAGCATGTTCAGGTATGTATCGAAATAGGACAAAAGTATTTTAGACACTGCTACAGTGGTATCAGATTTCATCTTGTAACTTAGAAACTGTCAGTTCCAAACTCATGTTCGCTAATACTGTTTTGCTTCTTCTGATGAATACTACACATACCTAAAGTTTCAACTAACAATTTCAGTGCATACTGTACATCCATTTTTGTTTAAAATTACCTGGTTGAGCGTTGAAGGTGTCAGTATGGAATTGTGTGTATAATGGTTGTGCTTGAAATGGTTTTTGATGTGGTGCTCGTTGTGTCTATTATTCTGTCCTGTATCCACCTTCGGTTTCTCTTCCACTATTGACAGTAGCGTATGCAATTTCTTGACATTGTTTTTACCAGCTAGCTTTATTGCACTCTGTAATCAGAAACAAAAAATTCAAATTAAATTTTTCACAAAGATTAAACCTTATACGTAAATATAAGTAATATTTTTTATTGTAAAAATAAGTTTCATCCTAGATGCGCTAGAGGACTCGTCAATTCGAGACTTTACCAAAAAAATTAATCTCGTTACCTAGTTTATTGCAAAAATAATTTTATCACACGAGAAAAAAAAAACGGTACATTTGTTTTTCTTTTATTAAACGTTTAGATAAAATGTAACTCAATTTGAAATGTTTAAGAAACATTCGTCGAAACTTAATACGCGATCAACAGTCTCAAGAATGTAAGATTACATTCTAAGAGAGCCGTCGTTATTTACAAGAACCTAAGGATGCTGTTGCGAGCGGTATCGCGATAAACGGTAACATAATCCTTACGGTGGCTCTTGGTACGATCTCTAGCTTCGCAGGCGCGAATTAAAATAATCAAATTTCATTCGTTGCGGTCGTTGGTTGCATATCCGATACACACCAAGGACTCGGGTGTACCGTTCGCCGTGGTTGGATTCAAGGCGCATAAAATCCGACCAACCAGCAAACGAGTATATTCAACACGTATGGTAAACACGCCACCACCGATCCCTGTCACAACTTCGCTGCTCGACCGCGGCAAGAAAGGAAAAATCGGCCAATCGTCGGTTTTCGTGTCACGTCGACGAATTTATCTGGTTGCGCGCGCGGAACATCGACGCTGGTTGCGCGCACAGTAGAAAAAGCCGCACGAGAACGCCTTTCCGTCGGGTGGCTTTAAACCGCGATGTCAGTGAACATTTCCGAACGGGTGGTGCTCTGCCCCTGTCCCCTCGCCGCTCCCGCCTCCCCGTTTCTCGCGGTGTTTCCCCTCTGGTGCACCTAAATACCGTTATCGCGATCAAACGTTCCCGTGTTTTGGGTAGACGAGAGAAATACGGCCGATTCCCGTACGGATTCTAGCTCTAAGACGGACACGGGCGTTCGCAAAGATGACAGCAAGATTTTCACAGGCAGGCACCGTGTCTCGTGTGCGCGATGCAGCGCACGAATGGTGGGGGGAGAATGAAAGAGGTAGCGAGCGGGGTAAAGGTGAAGGGAACCAGCGAGAGAGGGGATTGGAGGATGTAGAAAGTGGGAGGAGGGGCGGACGAAAAAAGAGCGGAGTGGGGGACGACGAAGAAGGCAGAGGAGGAAGAGCGAGGCAGAAAGAGAAGACATTGACCGAACGAGCAGCCGCGCGACAAGGCCTCCTTTGCCGTGCCAGGCCAGCTGGAAGGAACGAAGCCCCCCGAACCCTGACTTCTCTTTCTCGACTCCCGGGTATTACTTTCCTTTTCCGATAACTGTGTACCCGTTCACGCTCTTACCCTTCCTTGCTTCCCTCTTCGTCTCTCTCACGGATTGGCTACCAAAGAAACGACCGGGAAAAAGCCACTAGAGCTCCTCGGTGATAAAAAAAACTACCACCTAGCAAAAGCCATACTCCACCTGCGCACGTGTGCCAACTGCGAAGCGAAACCCCCTAGGACCGTGTACCGCGGTCGGATTACACGCTCCGTATCTAAGGCGAATTAATCGAATAAACCACCGACTTGGGAGTGCACCAAAAAACTGCGTAAACCTGCTATAATATATCACAATGCTTGAAGCGTTCCTTTTTCTTTCGTTAATCGCTGCTCCAGAAAAGCTATTCCGAGGTTGGATCGCTAATCGCTGTATTCAGCCACGGAAAATTCTGTGATCGTTAGGGATATTCAATTCTCAATAGATTGCATACACATACTTTTTTAATTTCTGATTTTTTTTTTTTTTCTTAATTCTGACACGAATCTTATTCTTTTAGGAAAAATTGATTCCTAATTTGACCAGTCTCACATGAAAATTGGTGTCGATAATATCAACTAAATATCATACGATCATCCCATATTTACCATTTTGAAATTCACCGTAACTTAAATTAATGGTTAGAAATCCACTGTGATAAATTTACGTGATAATGTCTTAATTGTGTATATGCAGATTTAACTTACAAATGTCATAATAGCACAGTCAGCAACAAGGGAAAAGATTTTTAAAATCAATTTTTAACAAGATTCGAGCATCCCTTTGTCGGAGTAACGTACCGGGAGTAATATACGTCTCGAGTAAAACATAAGGATATTCGATTTAGAATACTATCAGAAGAATTGGCTTAAAAACATCGATAAATAATTTTGCTCGTACATGTTTTACTGTTGCAATCAATGAGAGAGTATGTGTTCGAAATAAATTGATATCGAGACAGAAAAATGGTTGGCGAGAGAGAAAGAGAGAGAGAGAAAGAGATAAAGAACTGTTGGACGATCCTGGAGGTGAGGTTCCTCGACACGGGACGAGTAAAGGAAGGTCGTTCCCGGACGTGCGGACGTTCCACCGGTCGGCTACTCCGCGCTTTGGTTAGCCGGCTACTAAACTCGTCCGTACAATGTTGCCACGTCTATCCCGTTCGGTGTTGATACGACCAGACTCTAATTCAGCTTACTACTCGCAGTTCGCGTGTACTCGGTCGCGATGTTAACGCGTTCCTTCATACAGTAGTGACTGTCACTTCAAATCTACACTTACCGATTCGACCGATTTTTTTATACAAAACATGAAAATCGTCCTACACGATTGAAAATTACACATTCACCTACATATCTAGTCTAACGTTCCTTCTTTTGACATGTTAACAAAATATTACACATACTTGTGTGTAGGATTTTAAATGACAGTCACTGTATATGCGATTATCGCTTTTCAAAACAAAAAATCTAAACTAAAGTAACAAATTTTTGTTTCGCACATTTTTCTTTTTCTTCTTTTTTATTCTTATTGAGTGTTTCAATCTATTTGTCTTTCCAATTAAGAATTTTAATGTTTCTTAACGACGAGTGAGATTACAGTACAATTTACTACACTCAATGCCACATATAATTGCTATTACGCAATTTTTGTTAAATAATTAGTAATTGCTGTTATTTTGAAATAGAGTTGGAAATACGTTGCAATAGTGTGATTAAAGCTGTTACACAGCGGAAACATCAACTTTCATGACATAAACTTTTATGTATATAATGTTAATAATAAACGTATATAAAATATAAGACGAATGACTAGTTTATCTATATATGCGAAGTAATTATATACAACCATAGTTTATATATGTGCTTTCTTAAAACTTGTGGTTGAGGGAAAATTAAAAATTGTATTTTTCTTTATAATTAAATCGTAAGTTTTTCTTTAAAGGCCCAGAATTCATTTCCACGCCCAATATAATAATCAGAAAGAAATTCAATCGAATTATTTAAATCGTATCGACCGAACATCGATATAGTCGACGACAGATTTCTTTTCACGAATTCAAATCACTTATCGAGCAACCAGTCACGCGCATTTCCGACCGACTCTGTAATCGGAGAAATACGATTCTTAACCTATCAGAATACGTCAACGGTCGCCCATTAAATTTGGCGGGCATCGCTAGCGCCAAGATTAAGCATTCGCCGTTCTCGTTTGTAACAAGCGGATAATAACAGTCATTCGGACATCTGTTTGACGAAAATTTCGGCTGCTTGCCAGTATCCAAATTGACGTGCTGAGCGTGAAACGGATGCTGGCCACCGTCCAAAAATTATACGAAAGTAAACATATATCGTGACGGTATTGTTTATACTCTGAGTTACTGTCTTCGCGTTTCCGTGTATTCGCAAATTACGCCTTTCGACGAACAGAAATCTGCACCGTTATCTCTCGAACTTGTGAAATTCAACAATGGGAGAAATACGTGCCAGAAAGAAGTAGAAATTTGGAAACTAAAGTTCCTACCTGCTGAATAATTTATTTAAATTGGCGAGAAGACACTTCGTAAGATTTCAAAGTGTCATAAGAATCATTTAGAGATTTTATATCGTTATTAGATGTATAAATTAATTCTGTGCCTTTCGAAACTTAACATATCGCGATCCTATCCATATGTTTCATTGCTACGAAGGCTGGTGCTCTAACGAAACAAAATGGCGAGTGAATATTTCGACTCAAACTAGACTTATAAATGTGCGAATGTATAATTCATTCACAGAATTAATAATTCATCAAATCGTGTAGAGCAGAGAAAACAAACAGTAGCACGAATAAATGTACAAAACATCGATACGCAGCGCTTTTCGTATCTGTCGGACTAGTTTTGGTTGCGCTGTGTTTACAAAACAAACGTTTGGAAATGTAATGGTCGGCGATCAACGAGTGACAAAACACGACTAATTCCCAGCAGGAAAGATCTTATCGCGAATGATGTATTTTAATGGCGTAAGTGATGTCGAATGGAATGCACTGACGAAAGAAAAAGGAATAAGAATGGCGGCAGCCGCCATCGAGTGACGGTGTCCATATTTCGTCTAGGGACACATTCGACTATACATATACAGGGTGTCCGAAAAATGTTTGAACACCTTGAAAAAGGTGGTTCGGGGGGTGATTTGAAACAACTTTTTCCTTAGCGAAAATGTTGTCCGAGGCTTCGTTGAGGAGATATTAACGGAAAACACTGACCAATCAGAGCGCGTGGATACCGTTGAGCGGCTGTGGTAGCGAAGACTACGCGCTAGGCGGCTGCGCTCATACGCTATCGCGGCCGCTCCAACGGTATCCGCGCGCTCTGATTGGTCAGTGTTTTTCGTTAATATCTCCTCAACGAAGCCTCGGACAACATTTTCGCTAAGGAAAAAGTTGTTTCAAATCACCCCCCGAACCACCTCTTTCAATGCGTTACAACATTTTTGGGACATCCTGTATATGTACATGTATAACTCATATAGTCAAAGAGAGACCCTCTAATCCGAGTCACGAAATAACGTCAAGATTATGTTAAGGTGTGACTATATCTATTATTCAGCTGAAAAATGGCGACGACCAATCAGAATCGACCAACGTTATTTCGTGACTGACTTAGAGGCTCTCTAGCTTCGTCTAGTCAGTCCGAGCGACCGATGAGGAGAATTTAGTTCCGTGAAAACAAGACAGAGGGAGAAAGTGGCGAGAAACGTGGAAAAAGAGGGCAGTGGACGTGCGATAAAGAAAAGAAAAGGAAAAAGAAAAAAGAAAACTCGGTGTCGGTGGTAAGAAGATTTACAGTGGTGTAAATTGCAGCGATAAACCGACCATCTATGGGGCCACGACTTGTTAGATTATTTTCGTACGTAAATATTTTCCACTGATTTGCATGGTTTACTGGCCGTCGCGTTCGGCGGACAATTATTACGCACGGGTTTCGAAGGTGCACGTAATTTCGCTGATTTGTGAGTAAGTGCCGCCATTAGCTCCGGCGTGCAACGTTTATTGTGGATAATGCTGGCCGCGATTGCTTCCGCATGACAATAATTGGACTTTAGCGAATCTTAAAAGGAAAAGAAAAAAACGAATCGATCATACTGCTTGTTCAGAAGTTTACCATGGTTCTTAGTATATAATAAATTACTTATTCTACGTGTCGTTCTACATATTGTTTGCAGGCTTTTTCCCGAATTCGTGAACATTTCCTTTATCGTTATACATTTTGTACTACGACGTTGTAAAAAACAAATTATTCTTATGTTATTTAGAAATAAGTTACGTTTAACATATGTATATTTAAAATAAATGGAAAGAGTAGAAACGAATGTC